AGGAGAGGGAGGTTGGGGAGGGATAACATGGGGAGAAATGCCAGATATAGGTGATGGGGGAATGGAGGCAGCAAAAAACATTGCCATGTATGTACCTATGCAACAATCCTGCATGTTCTGCACATGTACCCCAGAACCTAAAGTGCAATAAAATTAAAAAAAAAAACTGAGTCTAAGGGAGATACAGGGGTGCACAGTGAGAGATAAGGATGCATAGGCCGACTGCGTCAAGATTTTGAATGCTGTGACAAAGTACTTGTCTTTGTCCTGTATGCACTGATTTCTTTTTTTCTTTTTTTGTAGTTTGGGCTCTGGGGTACATGTGCATAGCCATGGTGGTCTGCTGTCTCCATTCCCCCCGTCCCCTCCCCTTCACCTCTTAACCTAGCCCTGTGAGTGTTGTTCCCTTCCCTGTGCCCAAGTTTTCTCACTGTTCATCACCCACCTATGAGTGAACACATTGCACTGTTTGGTTTTCTGTTCTTGTGTGTTTGCTGAGAATGATGGTTCCTAGATTCATCTAAGTCTCTACAAAGGACATAAATTCATCATTTTTTATGGCTGCATAGTATTCCATGGTGTATACGTGCTACATTTTCCTTGTCCAGTCTATCATCGATGAGCATTTGGGTTGGTTCCAGGTCTTTGCTATCACAAACAGCGCCGCAATGAACATACGTGTGCATGTGTCTTTATAATAGAATGATTTATAATCCTTTGGCTATATGCCCAGTAATGGAATTGCACTGATTTCTTTCCTTCCTCCCTTCCTTCCTCCCTTTTCTTCCTCCCTCTGTTCTTTTCTCCTTTCTCTTTCTCTCTTTCCTTTTTTCTTTCTTTTTCTCTTCCTTTCTTTCCTATTTGAAGTTTTACTATGTTTTCATAGTAGCCAGTTGTACTACCCAGATGTGATGTTAAAATTCTACCAGCTCCTCTCTCACCTATGCTATCCTGTATAACACAGATCTAAATATGCTTGCATCAAGATGAATCTCCTAGCCTCCAGTCATTCTAGACTGTCACCCTTAAACCCTGCTAACTGAAATTCCTTAGTCTATGCCTCTAACTCACCTCTTGGTTCCTCCATTCAAGGACCTATCTCCTAGCCATCAAAAGCCAAATAATGTAATTCATTTGTAGAGAAAATGACTGTGGAGTTTGAGAACTGCTTCATAGACAAGTGACATTAATTAAGGCATAATCTCTAAAAAGCCTGGAGTTTCTGTAAGTTATAAACTATTCATCCCAATTCAGAGAGTTAATTATCAACGTAATAATTTGATTCTTCCAGTTACCTATATAAACTATAGTATTTTAAAACTGTCTGACTCCGAGTCAGTAAAATAATTCCTATATCAGAAAAGTCACCATTTTATGATTTCTCCCCCATTACTTCTCATAATTTCCATAAGATGACCTAGTATCAGAGGATATGTTTCTATATATTAAAGATTATGTTGTCAAGCAGGAACTTTATATATCACCAAGCATTACTGTGCTTGTGTAACAGGCAATGCACAAAGGCACTCAGGATGCCTATTACAGCTTCCAAATAACAACATAGAGTTTGCTTGTCGGATGGGTTGCTGCCATGCAGGGTTAACGGAGTACGCTGTGGTCAAGTGTTCAAACATATTTAACAGCATCAGTGCAAGTTCAGGTTTATTCAAAGGGCAAGTAAGCTAGAAACACGGAGAACTGATGTTCACTTTGAAAGAGAATGACCAAACAAAACCCAGGGGAAAATTACATACTAATAAATATACTCCAATATATATTGTAGTTTCTAGCTTTTAGTAAAAAAAAAATTTAGAGTCATAAATGAAACATTTTCTTATTTAATTTGCAGTTCTCTTCATTTTATAGTAACTTCAAAAACACATTGTTGTTCTGATGAAAAAGAGTTATGTATCAGTGGATTTCCGAGATTTCTCTCCCTACTTTCCAATCAATGCAATTTATTTTTTTCTTCTGTCTTCTTTCTAGACTACCTGAGGGCAACTTCTAAGGCCTTGATTCAAAAAACTAATGTGCTCAGAAGCCCAACATGTCACTATGGAGTTTAATGTGCTAAATGTATTATAGGCAATACAGGGGAATTCTATTAATTTTATATTTTATATCCTGCCCTTTCTTCAACTACAACTGTAATCTTTCTTTGAATCACAAATTAAAAAGAACTTTATCTGGAATCACATTTATTTAGTCTTCAAATTTACTTTCCTCATTACTAAGAGGCCTTTTCTTAACATTCTTCAAGGGTCTTTACAAATGAGTGTCAGCAGTGGGAAAGTGTTATTTTTGGGTAACCCTGGATAAGTCATTTAGCAGCCCTGGATTCCAGTTTTTTCATCTGTAAAATACGACAGTGGGACTAAATACTCTTTCCTGCCCCTTCAGCTCCTATGAGGCTATGATTCTAGCATACTAAAATATTTTAGACAAACACTGAAGTTAGATTTATCATCAAATACCTGTGAATCAGATATGATGCTCATACTAATTAGAATTGAATTTTCCTTGATTACTGGGCAATTAAAATATACTTTAAGATAGAACAGCAAGGCTCTGACTTTTTCTAATTCCATGCATGAATATTATGGATATGTAGAAATATATAAAACTATCTCATTTAGGTATATCTAAAAGCTGATTTTCACAGCAAGAAGATTAAAGAGTATGTACACTATCCATGAGAATTAATTAAACATCTTCTTTAGAAAAAATTTCTTTCAGAGCCTTTCTGAAGACGACCAGATTGGCCAATTGCACTTTGGCACTAATACGTGACTGTAAACCAACAACATCAAAATATGTGAACATTACATTCTGACAGATGTGAGAAACAGCTTAATAATTAAAACCAACATTGTTTAACTCCCTTAAATCCATTTCATTCAACACATATATATTTTGAGATGGAGTCTTGCTCTGTCACCCAGGCTGAAGGGCAGTGGTGCATCTCAGCTCACTGCAACCTCTACCTCCAGGGTTCAAGCGATTCTCCTGCCTCAGCCCCCCGTGTAGTTGGGATTACAGGCACCCACCACCAAGCCTGGCTAATTTTTTTTTGAATTTTTAGTAGAGACAGGTATTTTATGTAGAAACAGGGTTTCACCATGTTGGTCAGGTTGCTCTCGAACTTCTCACCTCAGGTGGTCCACCCACCTCAGCCTCCCAAAGTGCTGGGATTACAGGCATGAGCCACCATACCCCCACCCTAACACATAGTATTAAGTCCTTACTCTACTGTTTTTCCATGTCTTTTGTGAAAAATAGACAAGTAGTGAAAGACATTGTCTCTGATCTTTTGAATTGCAAATCTGGGTAAGTAAATATGTATTACGTTTGGGGAAAAACATTGATAACAAAAGTCATGCAAAACCAATATGAGTGACCATGGAGAAATTCAGATAGAATCTATGCATGCTGAAGTATGTAACATGAGATATTAGATTACCCTAAAAAGACTGTGCAGGTGAAATTTTAAAAAGAACAAAGACCATGATAAACATAGCCATAGTGATTTTCATACAACTTCCACTGACGACTGTTGCTTCTGAAGGGTGGACTGCTGGCCATCTATCGAGGTTTACAGTTAAGTACCTGGTGCTGCAGTCAGATTACCAGGCCACCCATCTAACTGTGCCACTACGGACGAGTAACTTAGGGCCTCAATGCCTCAGTTTCCTTTCTATAAAATGGAATAAACAATGTACTTGGCTGGGCACAGTGGCTCACGCCTGTAATTCCAGCACTTTGGAAGGTTGTGGTGGGTGGATCACTTGAGGTCAGGAGTTTGAAACCAGCCTGGACAACATGGTGAAACCCCAACTCTACTAAAAATACAAAAGTTAGACAGATGTGGTGGCACATGCCTATAATCCCAGCTACTCAGGAGGCTGACACAGGAGAATCACTTGAACCCCGGAGGTGAAGGCTGCAGTGGGCCAGGATTGTGCCACTACACTCCAGCCTGGGCGACAGAGTGAGACTATCTCAAATTAAAAAAAAAATACTAATAATAAATGTACTTGTCTTAAAGGGTTGCGGAAAGAATTAAATGAGTTAACATGCAAAGTATTTAAAGCAGTGCCTGGTAAACACCTTAATAAACGTTTTCTTAATGAATGTTTTCTCACTGTTCCCCAATTTTGGGCTGGGAATATATTAAGGTATTGTTGCTTACCTCAAGGGAAATTGCAAAAGTGCTCAATTCAGTTTAAAAAAATGTATGTCATATAGCTCATGTAAGATGTAAAAGTGAAGGCATAAAATCAATAAAAAAATTAATGAGTTTTATATCTCCAAAAAGGTTGGGAGTCATTGCTCCGGGGCAAAGGCTGGGGAAATAAACATGCCCATTTATGTCCCTTTTTCCACTGCTGTTATCTGACATTCTCTAGAGACTCTTTGCAGCACTAGAGACTTCTTTTTTTTTTTTAATTCTACTTCTAGGGTAAATTCACAACTGTAGACCACTAATAGCTTCTGAATCGTTCTTGCATTTACATAGACATGATGATAAATAATCAGAGAAAACATTAAGCTAGCTTTGACAACGATAAAAAACATTTGTAAATTTATCTAGGTTTAGCACATTCTTGGATAATTTTATCTTTTAAACCAGTTGTCTAATTTCCAACTCCAAATCATAATTTCTCCTTTTAGCACAAACATATTACCTTCTGAGGTTTGTTAATTAAAAGGAAAAATGCAAAACCAGTAACATGCACAGGAATACAGAGTCAACTATTTTGTCTAGAGCTGATCTGCAGGGCTATACGGGCACAGCTCTTGTAGAATTATTCAGCTCTGCAGACTGTGTGACCAAAAACCTGTGACCTATTCACATGCTCCGAAAGTATAACAAGAAGGCTTCCCAGGAAGTCGTGAGAAGGAACTGGATCACTGGAGACAGTTGTGGGGTGCTATGGTCTCATGTTTGTGTCCTCCCAAAATTTCATACCTTGAAACTGTCTCATTTAGGTATATATATATTTTTTTTTTTTAAATTTTTCACAGCAAGAAGATGAGCTAAGAAATAAGGTGAAGGTATCAGGAGGTGAAGCCTCTGGGAGACGATTAGGCCATAGGGGTGGGGACCTCATGAGTATTAGTGCCCTTATAACAGAGGCTCCAGAGAGCTGCTTTGCTCCTTCTAGTGGGAGGGTGAGGTCCACGAACCAGAAAAGCAGGGCCTTACAGACACTGAATATTTAGGCACCTTGATCTTGGACTTTGAAGCCTTCAGAACCATGAGAAAAAAATTTCTGTTGTATGTAAGCCATCCAGTCTGGCATTTTGTTATAGTAGTCCAAGAAGACTAAGACACAGGGTAAACCTGCTTAAGGATTATCACAGAAGATGATTTAGGAATAGGCATGTCACGGATCCTTTGGATGTTTTTTGTTTTTTTAAAACAAATGAGATGGGGTCTCAGTATGTTGACCAGGCTGGTCTTGAACTAGCCTGAAATGATCCATCCATCTTGGCCTCTTAAAGTGCTGGGGGTACAGGTGTGAGCCATCGCACCTGGCTTAGTTTTTGAATATGAGTTCAATTCTTTATTTTTTTCAAAGCAACTATTTAGACTTTCTTTGCCAAATGTTCTTTTATCTCAAGAAGCAGGAATCAGGAAAGCATTCTTCAACACCCTCTAGGAGTCCTGGGGGAAAAGTATTTTCTGCTGTAACATATGTCTCAGTCAGGGAGCCTCTGCAGCATGTCAGTGTGTGGGCAGACTCGGGAAGTACAGCAGGAACAGCAGAGCAGTCTGCTCTGGCCGACAGCACGGCTCACAGTTACAAAGCCCACCCAGTGCTAATGCAATCTACACACCCCGAAGACAGTCCTAAAAATTCCAGGAGCAAAAGCAAAACAGAAGACGCAAAATGGGACACAGTCTCAAAATGCTAACAGCATTTTCACGTAACACTTTTTTTTTTAAAGTTTATAATAACACCTTCCATTTCTATAACATCTTTCTGCTGAAGAGTTAAATATCCTCTAAAGACGTTTTATTCATTTTCAAAGTTCCAATTCATCCGGACAATGTTCCCATGGAACAGTAGGAAATTTGCCTGCATCTTACAGAAGAGGAAACCCAAAACCCAATTAGATGAAACAGGTCAACGTGACAAGGAAGCAGGACTGGAAGGCTCACGGAAGCTCCACCCCCACACAAGGGAGCCTGCCAGGGTTGGTCCCTGACCCTGAGAGAGCTGCACCAACGCTGTGAAGACTTACACAAGCTTTAGGTTGGTCAGATATTGCTGTGGTTTCAAAGGCTTAGCTGCTGATTTCCTTGCTAGGTCAGGAACCTTGCTTTCAGATTTACAAAGAATTGTAGCAAAGACTTCTATTGCAATCTGCTGGATCCTAACTATTCTTATAGTTCTTATGCCAATAACACATTCTCTCTTAATTCTATGACAGTGTTTTTGAAACCACATACAATGGAACCTTCAGAATTTCAGGATCACTCTTTCGAATTACTGCAATTTCAAGTAGGTTAAGGCTAATCTAAAAAGATGATAACCCTCATCTTTGACTTCCTGTCATGTTTATCAATAGCTCCATTTTTCTTGGAGGTTGACTTTACACTAATGAGTTACTGCTCTTATCTTTTTAAATATTCTATGTAAGGTTAAGTTTTAAAAAAATGTTGTTTTCAAAAAATCTCCAGAAAATTGTGAGACTGGTTGCTCATTTATCATTTCACATTTATTGAGCACCAATGTGCATAGTGTAGCACTAAGCTCTGGGGATGCAGTCATGAGGTGGGGACTGTCTCTGCTTTCATCTGCTATGATGCATACAACAAAGGTCACCAAGTGACAAGAGACTTCACATTCCTGCAGTCACACTGACCTTATAAGAGGTTGGAAAGCCTGCATACATGGTGAGTTTTAAGCCCAACCTGCTGAGGATTCTCTTGTTTTATGGTTGTTGAGCAGAGTCAACAAAGTCAATTTAATAAACTGCAGGGAATTTAGAGATATAAGCAAAGGGAAACAAATAGAAGCAGAGGGCAGTGCTTATTTATATTTCACATTCTTGAATACTTAAGGTGTCCTGTGGAACATACACCATTTTTTAGTTAAGAAAGCAGAAAACTGAACTCAAAAGATAGAGTATATATAAATTTCAGTCTCTAGTTAGAGGATAGCAAATAGTAATTTTTCTTTCATTGAAGTTTTTGGTATTCAAGTCTTCATAGTTAACAATGGCTAACAGTTATAGAGCAATTTAATGTTGGCTAGATACTATGCTAAATACTTTACATGCATCATTTTATTTAATTCTTCTAAGATAATGGAATTATCATCCCCATTTTACAGATGAGTAAAATAGAGTTCAGGCAGATTAAGTAGATTAAGTTGACCTTCTCTTTAAGTTAGAGGTCACATGGTAGAAATGTTAGTACATCAACCGCACAGTGCTGAGAAAATGAAATGGTAGGACATGTACTTTTCAAATGAGACCTCGGGATTACAATTTGTTCTTCCTTTTAAGAAAATATCACAGCCTGAAGAGAAAATAACAAACTATCCCATGAAGGACTTGATATGGCTCAGCCTCCCACTGCTCAAAGGAATGGCTGTCCTTCATTTCTTGCATGTCACCCTCTCATTAAGTCAGGGACAGCTGTAGCTTTGTGTTCTCCTCGGCATAAAAAAAATAAAAAGGGCAAGCCTTTAGTCTCACTCCTCTTGTGGTCTTTTCTCTTACATAAGAAAATCCTGTTATTTTTCTATTAGTTCCTCCACTTAAAGTGAGAGTTGCTGGAAAGGAAGCCAGAAGCAGCCTGTAACATATCAGATGGACTGAGGACATGATGTTTATTTCATAGCAGATCCTCCTTCTTCAGTTCTGGGTTGCACTCTATTTCCAAAATTAGGCTTGGCATATGAGCAAATTGGGAGTGAGGAGTTAGGCATATTCATCTATGAATAACGTAAGCATTATATGTGGTAGGTGGTGTTATTATTACTCACTCTTATAGAATATTGACAGAGGGGTTTAACATTACTTCCCTCAGAATGAACTCCTGTTGTGTAGAGAGTCTAAAATTCTACTGTCTGATGAGTGCTATCTTACATAAAATAACTACTGATCTGAGATCCTGAAAGCACCACAGAATATGGCTTTGCCTTAAGACCTACTATATAATTACGTAACAAGTTGAAAGTACTAGAAATTAAGGTGGGGTGGGGGGAGTACTTGAAAAAACTGTTCTCCCATTCATTAAAGTTACAAGGAAACTTCTTTCAAACTGGCTCCTAGAAAACCTGCCAAAAGATATAGCGTGCATATTACATTATATGTGTGGGTTTATGTGTATTTATGTATATTTGGAAACAGCTGATCCAAGAAGGAGTTTTTAACTCTGCTTTCGTATTAGCATGCTTCAGAACCATCAATAATTTCAGAATAATCACCTTATTTTTAAAAGTTCTGCTTATCAATGAGAAGAACGAAAGTTGTGGTTTCTAAGAATGTTATGGCTTCCAGAAAAGAGAGAAAAATAAAATGACTAGAAAGTACATTGAGGGCTCTTATAATTTACTAATTCCTTGAGGCAGGATTCTATTTCAAGCATTCCAGATAGAAGAAATGAATGTAGACCTTTAAAAAAGTTTTGAAAAGTACTTTCAAGAACTTTAGTGACCTCTCCTGTTTGTCTGGAAACTCTTTTTATATAAGAAAATTTCTATATCTACAAATATTTTTCCATACCTCAAACAGACCCAAATGCCAAGACCTATGGCATCTTTGAACTGAAGTTAAATACCACTAGTAAGCCTGCTTTCAAATTCTCCATCTACAAATAAGAATTCAAGTCTAACTTTGGGTAGCAGGGATTGGATGAGGAGATTCACTGCTAAATTTGGAATGTGAAGATCTAGATGTGCCAGGGCTGTTGCAAAGTGGCTTTGTTCCATAGGACAAACCACTGAATTTCTATTTTGGAACTTCAATTTCATCACTGACAAAATGGGGTCAATACTACCCATTGTGAATGTCCCAAGGGTTGGCTGTGAATTTCTCATGAGGGCATGGATGAAAGGGCCTTTTGAAAGGGTGAGTGCAGGTCTCCTGCAGGAGGGGTCTTTTCACGACAGGTCTTTATAAATCCTTTTGGCAGGTCGCTGGTAGGAGCAAAAAGCAGGTGCCTGGGGCCTGTGTGATGGACATCCTGGAGCCTGGGTCGGCTACCCAGGGGTGGTCTAGTAATGTGGGGTTGAGGGGGGTGGCAGCAACAGAATGTGAAGCCAGAAAAAGCAATACAGGAAGAACTGCTATGGAGCCCCAGGGCTGCAGGAGCGGGGAGGTAGACACTGAGGAGCAATGCGGGGAAGGAAAGCCTGCTGCCGAGGACAAAGATGACAAAATCATGCTCGGCAAACCTGCATCAGCACATCCAAAAATAAAACTGCAGGGTGACGTATGCATGTCTACACATAGGTGAGCATGTGTGTGTCTCTACGTTACTAGGGGTCGTTAATTTCTGAGGGTGGCTAGTTGAGTTTACCTTTGATGAAGGCTAGTGTATCAGAAAAGAAGATCTCAACATTCATGCATCCTGATGTCAAATTCTGAAGCCATGGTTGCCTTTTCTAGCTCTACAGAGCCTTCTAGTTTTAGCCAGCTGCACTCTTTAGACCAAGGCCTGCTAATGTAATCAGTCACTTTCATGAGTACCTAAAATTATAGCTGTTACGTATTTGTAAAATAAATAACTTATTCATTTATTGTGTGTAAGAATTTGTGGTTAATGCCTCTGTATCCATTGTTTAAGGCATGGCTCATCACCACACATAACTGCAGGCTGGGATTATGTTTTACACATGTGCTCTTTGACCCCTGGGGACATGAGAGAACAGATACTACAAGTGAACGTTCATTTAAAGCCTATGTTTTAGGTAGGAAAGAGGGGACGCTACTCTTATCCAACTGTGACTAAACTCATGACATTGTGAAAGAGCTCACTATGAATGGAGTTGTGTCAGTAGCCTAGAAGTATGCTCTGGTTTTCCTACTCCAGTGCATGAAATCATGTGACATTTAGATCACCTAAGACGAGGACTGAAGAGCATGCTCTAACCAACACAGCTATAACCATGCAAATTTATACATATTAAAGGTAATTATTATACTTAATATATATCTAACAAAAGTCAACCCAGATTGTGACAATACTGAATTTCTATCTTGTAAAAGCATCACACGTGAGATTTACTGTTTTTCACATACTAGGTCATAGTACTAAGTGTAAAAAGAAAAAGAAAGTGCTCCTTTGTTAACACTTGTCATTGTTCTGCACGTATGTAATTTCTAGAATCAAGGGCCTCCAAATCTATTAATAATCACAAACTTGCAAAAGCTATGCCTTATTTCAGACAACACCAAGCAAAAGTAGCACCACGATTCTAATTTTACTTAATGCTATTTTCAAGATGCCCACCAGTTTGAAAGCATGCAAGTCAAGAGTGTGCCACTACATAATTGAATCGATAGCTGTGGAAAAGTTAAATGATGTATCATTTTTACATTTCGAGGATAGTAATGTCCTGCAAAATAGGTCGTGCACACCATCTGCACCAGGCAAAATGCTATTATTGAATATCAGTTAACTTCAAATTAGGTCTCTGGACCCAGAGAGAAATCAGCAGTCGAACATTTCACAATGGTGTGGCACCTGGCTGGTAGATATCTACAAACGAAATCAAGAACAAAAAAATGTGCATTGTCACAATTAGAAGTGTGTATACGTACATGTGGGCAAACAATGCAGGGATTATATTAATTGATTATTTTTTGGTTTCTGCACATGGTAAAACACATTAAGATAAGTATTAAAGTGGTAAAGCAATAGATATAGATGTATTTAAATCTTATAAATAAAACAAACATGAATTTTATTATCTCAAACAAGGCTAACTCCCAGGGCCAACACACGATGTGGTATCTAAATATGTTAAATTGGTGAGGCATAGAAAGACCAACCCATGACAAAGAGGCAACACCGTCTTTATAAAAGTCTGTCAACACACAGCTGCAACATAATTTTGCTAACTCATTCATGATAGTTTGAATTCTCTTCCAAAGACAGAGCTCCTTTAGACACCTTTATGTTCTGAGCATTTCCATAGTGCCTGACACCTAGTAGGTGCTCAAAATATGTCAGATTTTCAATAAACTCATTATTTTAATCAAGCAAAGTTTGGAAAATGTCTTAAAACATTCCATTTTATTTAAATTGTGTGTTATCTTTCTAAAAAATTAAGAGTATTTAATGATGGAGTTGAAATTAAAAGAATTAGAGTACTTCAGTTTAAAGCCATGCCTGTCCCTCACCTGCCACTCCCCTCCTTTTTTTTTTTTTAGATGGAGTCTTGTTCTGTTGCCAGGGCTGGAGTGCAGTGGCACAACCTTGGCTCACTGCAACCTCTGCCTCCCTGGTTCAGGCATTCTTCTGCCTCAGCCTCCCAAGTAACTGAGATTACAGGCATGCACCACCACCTAACTAATCTTTTTGTATTTTAGTAGAGATGGAGTTTCACCATGTTGGTTAGGCTGGTGACCAACTCCTGGCCTCCTGGCCTCAAGTGATCTGCCTGCCTCAGCCTCCCAAACTATAGAGATTACAGGTGTGAGCCACTGTGCCCAGCCCCTTCTTTCTTTCTTCAAATATTTACTGAGTGTCTACTACAGGCCAGACCTTAGGCTAGGTGCTGGAGACTTATAGTCCAAGAGAGGCATACATACTTCCTTAAATGCACACAACCGAGGACCATGACAAAAAGACATGGCAGCGATCCAATGGAGGAAGTGAAGAATCCAGGCTGCCACCGGCAAAGAGGTGCGTGCCTTAGCTATGGAGAAGGCTGTTATCGAGGGAGTGTATGCAAAAGGAAATGAAACTTTGAAGAACATGAACATGTAAAAGGCAGGTAAAGGAAAAGGAGTGAATGAGAAGGATGCAGTAGGAATTTCAAGGTTAGCTTAGTTGTATCATATCGGGGAACTGAGTTAACCTAGCTCTCAATTGTATTATCTATTAAAGGGTCAAAATATATTTTAGCCAGTAGATGACATAATTAATGTTACCTATGTATTCGTTATGGCCCTAAATAATAAATGAGTCTTGTACCCTCTTATAAATAATAGTCAACATTTATTTACTGAGTTGGTAAACACTGTCCTTTGAGCTTTATATGTAATATAGTACATTTAATCCTCATGATAACCATTAAACAAGTATAATTAGCAACCCCCATTTTATAGATTAGGGACCAAAGGCACAGATATATAAAATAACTTGCTTGAGGTTACAGAGTTAATGTATAGTAACTGAAATATGAATATAAGCAGTCTGATTTATTGATCCTTACTCTATTCTTTCTCTCTTCATTTTAAAGATTAAGATAAAACCATTTTTCAAGACATGTCACAGAATGGGTCTGAGAAATAAGTAAAATGATACCTATGAACTGTGTGAAACTGTAAAAGGCTTAAGAATGTAAAATATCATTGAAAAGTGGTTCTAACAAAGTACAATGTCCGTTTCTGGTGAAATCAGACTTCATTGTTTCCCCCAGAGAGAAGTGCTGAAAACGATAAATTTGTGAAGAATCACTTTGGAGACTTGCTTCTATTACTAGAGGATGAATTATTTACCAGCAATATAACCAGGCATGGCTGGGAGCAAATTATTGATTTCAAGGGCCATTTCTAATCCCGTATCAGATTCCTTTGTCATACAGAAGACAAAGTTGTACTGAAGTGACGTTTAAGTTTTAAGGGAGCTGATAATCAGAAGTTGGCATTTTAATAAATAAAAATAATATTATATATGATCCTTCTCTGTCCAGACCTTTAACCCGAATCAACAGTTATGGACTGAATGTCTTTGTCCCCCAAAATTCACATGTTGAAGCCCTAATCCTCAATGTGATGGTATATGGAGATGGGGTCTTTGGGGATTAGTTTTAGATCAGGTCATGAGGGTGGGGCTCTTAGGACGGGATTAGTGTACTTTTATAAGAAGAGGAAGAAAGATCAGGGTTCCCTTCTCTTTCCACTTTTTGAGGACATAGAAAAAAGGTGCACTCTGCTAGCCAGAAAGAAAGCCTTCCCCAGGAAATGAATCAGCAAATGCCTTGCAGTTGGACTTCTCAGCCTCCAGAACTATGAGTAATAGTCCAGTGGTTTCAGCCATACAATCTACAGTATTTTGTTATGGCCGGCCAATCAATGACAAATACATTTAAATTTCAATATGTGGGGCTCTGGGATAGATATTTTTGTTGCATTTTATCACAGAGGAAATGACAGTGAAGAGTTTCATGATTTGCTTAATGCCAAAAGCCAATAGCAGACAGGATTTGAATCAGCATCCCTTGATTCCAAAGCTGTGCTCTTTCCATTGAGTTGTTTGGACACCTGTTCTTTATATTTATTCACCCCAGGTCAGTTTTAAAGGCCTTAGGACAGTTATTGGAGGATAAAAGCCTAATACATTCAGTACTTCGGAGGGCCACATCTCCCTCTGTGGCCAATTAACACTAGAGTTACTTTGATGGTCATTTCCTATAGAGTACCTATGTTCAGTTTTTTATCATTAGAAGGCCCTTTTCAGTGTGTATTCTAAGACCATGGGCCCTCAGCTTGCTACAATCCTGGGGGAGGCCCAGCTTCTCAGTCCTCAGAAAGATAAATGACTTATCTCTTTATACCAACATGGATTGACACTTTGCACAGTGTCATTTAAAATTTAGTACCTGTTGATTCAGCTAAGAGATAAAAAAAGATATTTATTCTTTGTTCATGTGAAAATGTTGTACACATTAATCCTATTAAACCACAGAGCCTGGATTTAAATTTCACTCTAAATCCTATTTCCAGAGTTATAATGTTTGAGGGTGTTTGTGTCTTCAAAGGTGTGACAATAAAAACTATAAGGTTGATCTTCAAATTCATTAATATACACAAGAGACAAAAAGCCATTAAATTAGCACAGCCAAAGGAAAAAGAATTTAAAAAATAGCCACACAAAGCCTATCCAGGGGGTGAGGCTTTTTTAGTGGACTAATTGCAAGGAAATATAAAAGGGTAAACTTTTATTAATCAAGCTCTTTTCACTCAGCCATGAAGAACTGCTAGGCAGAGCAAGCAAAGAGACAGGGGTTAATGTAAGCCTGATAATTAAATTCAGGATCAAGTGAATCAGAGGGAAGGCCACAAAAGTAAAAGTCAGGTGGAGATAAGAATTGGAATCCTAATCTTTTATAATACTATATGGTTTGTGGAAAGAAGAAGAGAAAGAAAAATTATGAAAAGTTTTTTTTTTTCCTTTTTGAAGCATCAGTAAAGGTGGTTATATTTAAGAGAAAAGTGAACAGTGACAAATGATACACAGAGGTATTCTGTAGCATCCTGCCTTCTGTGACATAAAGTGTTTCCTACATATTAATCTCCATTTATTTTCACATAATCCCTATGGAAAAAAATAGGCAAGAGCAGGCATGAGGGACTCAATCTCACCCCGATCACATAATTAGAGAGTGACAGAACAGATCTAAAATCTTAGCTTCTCAAATTGGGGTCAGTAGCCACCATTATTCTTCAAACACCTTGTCAGGCATAACAGTGATAAACAGAGAAAGGGCAGAAATGACGTAACCAATGTTTAAAGATACTTCCAATACGACATGCCTTGCTACCCTCTGAATTTGAATACTTCTACTTTTCTGAAAATGTTGAATAAGGAATGGGAAACACCCACCAACATGTGGAAAGGAAAGGACCAAAGTCAGGAGGCAGAAGTTCTAAGTTCTAATCCTAGCTCCGACTCGCTGTGCAAACCTGGTCAAAATTATTCAAACTCTGGGCTTCAGTTTTCCTACCAAAAGATGGGGATGGTGGAAGAGATGTCTTCAGTTCACTGATCCATATGCCTGGAGCCTGCTGCCCACGTGCTGTGCTCAGAGCCAGGAAAGGAAAGCCCTCACACTAGAGGGCCTCAGGTGGAGAGAACATACAACAGAGCAACAGATACAGTCAATCATGATGAGGATGATGATATGCTCCATACGGTGGCATCGGGTCAGAGAGGAAGACAAGGTTGATAGACGAGGGGACTGCAGGGAAGTCTTCACAGAAATGCATTTTAAAATTTCATTTAATTAAGTTCCAGGATACCTGTGCAGGACGTGCGGGTTTGTTACATAGGTAAATGTGTACCATGGTGATCTGCTGCACCTAACAACCCATCACCGAGGTATTAAGCCCAGCATACACTAGCTGTTTTTTCCTCATGCAGAAGAATATTTTTAAGCTGAGTTTTTGAGAATTAGTTTCCTTGGGGATAAAGGTATTTTGGGAAATGTAACAAGTTTGGTGTGGCTGGAATTTAGGGCTCATGGGAAGATGGAAACCATTTATGAGAAGTGAGATGGAAAAGAGTTATGTGATGCAAAGGGCCTCATATACAGTGTTAAGGGCTTTGGAATTCTAAATCATGGCACACCACCACAGAGTCGTAAAGATAGGAGGAATCCCATTTGCGTTTTACAATAATCATCGTAGGCATGGCAATGATTGGATTCGGGGGAGGAGTAGAAAGAACTGAATCTAGAATTCCATGGTGTATATATGCGACATTTTCTTCAGCCATTCATCCACTGATGGACCCTTAGGTTGATTCCACGACTTTACTATTGTGAACAGAGTTGTGATGAACAAGTGAGTACAGGCATCTTTTTGATATAATGATTTCTTTTCCCTTGGGGAGATACCCAGTAATGAGATCACTGGATCAAACGGTACTTATAGTTTTAGCTCTTTGAGAAATGTTCGTACTGTTTTCCATAGAGACTGTACTAATTTACATTCCCACCAACAGGGTGCAAATGTGCCTTTTTCTCTGCATCCTTGACAACATCTGTTTTGGACTTTTTAATATAGCCATTCTGACTGGTGTAACATGGAATCTAAAAAGACTTGTGCCGGGCGCGGTGGCTCATGTCTGTAATCCCAGCACTTTGGGAGGCCGAGGCGGGCGGATCACGAGGTCAAGAGATCGAGATCATCCTGGCCATGGTGAAACCCCATCTCTAATAAAAATATAAAAATTAGCTGGGCGTGGTGGCACACACCTGTGGTCCCAGCTACTTGGGAGGCTGAGGCTGGAGAATCTCTTGAACCCAGGAGGTGGAGGTTGCAGTGAGCAGAGATTGTGCCACTGCACTCCAGCCTGGCAACAGAGCAAGACTCCGCCTCAAACGAAAAAAAAAAAAAAAGAGACTTGTTAGGAGCTTAGGGTAATGTTTCAGCTAAGAGATGATAAGGACAAATGGGGTGAGGAAGAGCCAACATTGCCAAGAAATATTTAGGAGGAGGAATGCTAGACTCAGTTGGTCAAATAAATGTGGGTTATGATGGAGCTGGAGTTGCTATGAGGTTTCTAGCTTGGGTGATTTTGTAGATGAGGAATGAGAAGACTGAGCTTGGGGAGTATGAACAAATAGAATAGATGGCTCTTTCAATGCTAAAGTCTTCTTGTGGAAGAAAGACATCAGGGTACTTGGCATTTTGGGAAAAGAGGCCCTCACATATTAAGATCTATTTATTCAGTTGAAGTTGGATATCTCACTGAGCAGCCCAGGGCTGGACATCTACTGGGGGCGGGTGACATCATTTTACAATGGGCTGCTGACAGCATGTGCATGTAGGGCAAAGAAATTGGCTGAAACTTACAGGGTCCTTTGCATCCTGAGGTCACACATGCAGGCAACCTTAGTTATACTGATATAGCTTCTGCCCAGTTTACCTGTGGATTTACTGTATCTTTTATTTTTTGAGACACAGTGTCACTCGGTCGCCCGGCTGGAATGCAATGGTGCCATCTCAGCTCACTGCAAACTCCACCTACTGGGTTCAAGAGATTCTCGTGTCTCGGCCTCCTAAGGAGCTGGGAGTACAGGCAAATGCCACGGCGCCCAGCGAATTTTTGTCTTTTTTTTTTTTTTTTTTTTTTTTTATATAGAGATGGGGTGTGGTCATGCTGGCCAGGCTGGTCTTGAACTCCTGAGCTCAAGTGATCTATTGCACTGGCCTCCCACAGTGCTGGGATTACAGGCATAAGCCATCATGCCTGTCCACCTATGGATATTTATGGCTCATTAACTGTACATTTTTATAGCCTCCATTAAATGCTTAATGGTTTGCAAGCATTTTTACCTTTAGATTTTCTTCATCTCAAGAACTGTTCTGTCCCTTAACATCAAATATAGACACGCCCACAACACACACACACACACACACACACACACACACACACACACCCAGGGTAACTGTCATTTATATGCCAGTGGTACCTACATTTACATCTACAGTCTTCCCCTGTGCTCTAAGTTCCCAGCCACAACAACCAGTGGCTCACACAAAAACTAGGTGTCCCCCTTGATTCTTCTCTTCATTTCCTTCCGTAAGAAACTGCTGTTAACAGTTTTCAGAACACATCCTAGTTGCCTCCACTTCTCTCCCTCCGTGGATACCATTCTAGTCACAGCTAGCATGTTTTCTCCTCAGCCACAGCCTTGGCCTCCTCTCTCGTCCCCCGGCTTCCTTCCACACTCTTACAG